TAGATTTCTGTTTTTCAAAATCTGATTTTTTCTTCTAATACTCAATTTCTTTTCTTTCTCATATTTATCCCTAAAAACTTTCTTTCCAACTCTAAAATTTTTTGTTTTTAAATTTCTCTGTACGAAATTTATTTTTCTCTCCTTAAAATTTTCATATTTTGAATATTTATTATTTGATCCTTTTCCTCGTTCAAGAATCTCCTCCCTTCTCCCATTCCGTCCCAAAGAGTGAATATTTGTCTCTCTCCAAAATTTTCATGTTTATGTTTTTTTATTTTTTTTATTTTTTTCCTAACAGATCAGTTTCGTTTCTCTCCCTAAAAATTTAATATTTTTCTGAACTTTTTTCTGTCTAAAATTTCGGCGTTTTCTAACTTGTATTTCGCTTCCTAATCTATTTTTTCCTCTAAAATTTATATCTTCTTTTCTCGTTCAATTTTCTTTCACAGTAACTTTTGTTTATCTCTATATTTATTTATTTTATCTAAAAATTATATTTTGAATCTTGCTTTTATCTCTAAATTTTTTTTTCCACTATAATTTTTTCTCTTTCTTTCTAATTTCTTTTTTTTCTCCTTTAATATATATTTTCCTCTCGACTTTACTTTGTTCTCTAAATTTTTTCTCTCTTTTCTCTTTTGTCTTTAATTTTTCTTTCACTAATTTTTTCTAAATCTTTTTATTTATCCCTCTAAAATTTATCTTCCAAAACTTTATTTACATCTCTTTAAACTTGTATTTTCATGTCTCTACATCAGGGATGACAAAAATTTTCGCTGGATTGGTCCCCAAGAATAGGAAATGCATGCCCCGACCCCGTCCCCAATTCCAGTTCTTAAATAATGAATATATATTTATTATTATTTTAATTCTAAAAATAATTAAAATCAATTATAAAACCGATAATTTTTCTTGAGAACATCTTTCGGACCAAAGAACGAGGTAACGACGGGAATTAAAAAATTTTACAAGTACGAGAAAGGGAGAGAGAGCATCCTTACTCGCACCCACACCATTGTCATCTCTACTCTACAAAGAATTTTCTCTCTAATATGTATTTTCAACTTAAGTTGTCATCAGTTGGACAAAATATGAATGAGTAAGCTAAACAAAGATAGATAACAGACATAGGTACTTACAATTTTTTTCCTACTCCTTTATGGTACATTATATCAAATAATCACATACCGCATCTGTAGACTTACTCTATTAAACAAGCAAGATTAAAATTTTGAAGACGTAATTAAATCTTTTAAAATTCAAGAGCTGGATAGATACGCAATCATTATAGTTTAAAGATTAAATTTTCCTAACTTTTCCTAACTTACACGTATTATCCAATATCATTATTTAGGTTGTTTGTTATTATTATTATTATTATTTATTTTTTGTCGGTGTGTAATTTTTGGTACATATGTTCGAAAATTTGTTTTGTTTCCAAATCTTTTTACCTTTTCCTTGAAAAGCTAAAGAGTTACTTATTCAATTTGAACATTTATTATTGCTTAATCTTTATCCCTAAGCTAGTCGTTATTACATTAAATGGATGTGCATATTTCAACGCTAAAATTACTCCATAATTCAATTCAAGAAGTATGATAAAGACATTCAATTAATAAATCGTTGATTTCTATAACCAACTAAACAAAAGCGCAGTTTAAAAGTTTAAAATCGGCCCAATTCTTAATTTGAGCCTAATTTAGTGGATGAAATATTCTATACCTTTTCTTTATAAGATTTGATTTCCATGGCATTTATTAAACTTGAAGAAGAAAAAAAAAAAAGAATATTGATCCAACTTCTTAATTATTTAATATTATAAAAATAAAACATATAGAATAGTTACTTTACAACTTATATACAAACATTTTCTAAAATTTTTAAATTCATCCTTTGTGTTTATGTATTGATTTTTTTTTCTCAATCAAGTGGTTACGATTTTAAAATATAAAAATATATTGACAAAACGATGATATGATGTAAAAAAAAAACTTTTTTATTAATTGAGTTGAAAAAATATTATTTTGTATTACCATAGATTTTGAGAGGGTAGTATGTGTCTTATCCAGACACACTATATTTTAATTTAATAAAATAGACATGCCCACAACTATAAAATACGAAATCTACCATTTTAAATTTACACGTCATCTTTTGTTTTCCAATTAATTATTATCTTGCTATTTGTATGTTTATTCTGCATATATAAATTTTAAAGAACCACTTCAATTTTATATAGAACCACTTCAATTTTATCTATTATATGAAATATATGTGAATATTTCAATTTTGACACTATTGCATATCAATTTTTAAAAGTATCATTTATGCTTAGGAATTTATACGTGCTAAATAATCGTAAAAGAAAGGGAAAAAAAAAAGTCAATTTCACCATTTATTGAAAACTTGTAGAACATAACATCTAATTAACTTTTATATCTTTTCTCAAAGATAGAAGGTTTAAAATTCACGCTATATTTATTACATGAATAATAATAAGAAGAATAGAGTGGGACCCTCAAACAATTAAAATTCGTATCATAAAATTTTACACTCATCCTAATGTAGTCACGTTCTAAATTTAATTTAACTTTTACTTAATTAAATTATAAAAAACTTATTGATTTAATGGCAAAATGAACATAGTCTAATGGTGATTGGCACCTCAAATTAAGAGACTATGAGTTCGATCCACTGCCCTATATTTTACTTCTATATTTTACTAAAGAAAAAGGCTTATTGATTTAGCTAATTCCAATTTCACTTGAGAAATGGGTATTATTTAATTACTATTAGATGAAACAAGTTAATTTTATCATTTTGCATTACGTGTTTTTTTCCCTTTTTCGAGATAGCCTATTACATATGTTGGTGTATATTCATTTACTTATGTGTTGTACATACTTTGAGTAAATGTGTACCCAAAAAAAATGAAAAAATGAAGTAAGAGAATATATATAACCAAAATTAGAAATTTTCTTTTTAAGATATAAAAAATAAAAACTTTACTCAATAGCATATTTCATATTGCAAAATTTCACTCCATAACGTAAATTTAATTTGTATTTTTAAAATTTCCACATTTTTCAATCCTTTTCAAATAGAAGATAAATTTGACTTTTTATTGTGTTTTTACCCGAGGTTTTAAATGTTGATTTTGATAGAAATGTCGGTAAAATATCGATGTTGATGGATAATTATGAAAATATTAAAATAAATAAAAAAAATTAATAAGAAATATTTAAATTAAAAAATAAGCATCATTTCTAAATAAGTTAAAAATGATTAATATTATTATTACGTCTGATATTTTACAAATATTTTTCATATTTTTCATATTTTGTCCTTTTACCTTTTGTAATATTATGGAAATGTCAATTTATCCCCTATGGACACATGAGAATGTCGATGGGATGTCGACATGTGAATGAAAATTTATTACCCTTGTTTTATATTATATTTGATTTTGACTTTAATTACATTATTTTTGTAAAGTTTTAAATTTTCTCCTTAATTTGAAAATACATATTTATTTTATGTTATTTAAATACCTCTCATTAACCTGTATTCTAAAAAATCTCAAGTTTTTTTTTTTCAAATATATATTGCATAGGCATGACTTTTTCCTTTCTACTATTTTTATAAAATTTTAAACTTTTTACTATATTTGGAAATATTACTTATTTTATGCTATTTATATAAACATCTTCTAACAGAAAATGACTTATATAATCGAATGTATATCTATTGCTTTTAGATTACCCCTAAAACTCTAATTCCACATCAAACCTAATTGCATCAAAGTTGACATTATATTATTGTGTATCAATTATATATTCTTCTTAAATCTTTACCTAGTACGTATGCACTAAAAAAATGAGCTCAAAATTTGTTAGATATGAAAACCCCCAATAAATTAGAATCTGGAACTCTTTGGTTTTATGGATCCCTAACTAACTCACAAGCACTAAAATTCTCAAATCGAATCGATTTCGACGATAAAGATTAGGTTAGACATGAATTGCTTTAAAGATCAAAGCTCTCTAGACAAAGGACAAGTTCCTTGGCCCAACAGTCGAACACTTCGCTTCTTCGAAGCTCTCAGTTGAGAATCCTCTCTCGCCTAGCAAGTTCTCTCCTTCAACTCTTCGAAGTGCTCTCAGCATCAACAAATCGCTCATACTATGGCTCTTCTACAACAATCTTCGCTTTTCCCTTTCTACTGTCCTGGGCACCCTCTTTCTTCTTTTCCTTCTCAGCTTTCTCTTTTACCTTCTTTTTCTTTTCAGCTGGCTGTTTGGACAAAGCCTTTCTCTTCCTAGGTGATTTTCTTGTAGGCACTGGGGCTGCTTCTTCCTCTTGCTCGCTCTGGAACTCCTCATTCTCTTCCTCAATTCCTTATGTATTGTTAGCCCCACTTGGCTCATCCACCTTGTCAAAACCCATTAATATCCGCTCATTCTCAGATAGGGTACACACAAACTCCTCCACCACCTGCCGTGTTTCAGGAGAGAAGGTCGGAGCTTCGTCTTCGTTCCTTTCTTCAAGCAGTGCTTCCTCGTTTACAACAGGCTGCTCTTTTGTGAGGATTTCTTCCTCTGGGGTTACTCGCTCTTCCTCTACAATGGGTTCTGGAGGCAGCTTTACTTTGGCAGGTTTTTGCCTCCTTTTTGCTGGTCTTTTCTTCTTTGGAGAAGAGTGTTGGGTTTTATGCCTTAAACTCGTGGTTTGTAAACATAAAACAAATATTTATTCAATAAACTTGTTATTGATGTTTCATTTAGAATTGCATTAACCCAAATCCAATAAACTAACATCCGAGGTTATGTCATGTAACTGGAACAGTATATAATAGATATACTGTATATATTTAATATACAACGTATATATTTGATATACAGTGTATATGTATACAATATATATTTGATATAAAGGTGAATACTGTTCCAGTAATAACCTAAAGGCTCTATGGTATATGGGTAAGGTTGGTACCTTATCCTAGTAACACTGTGGATACGACTCACTTTGTAATAGTTACAAATGATTGGATCCAGGTCGTTCGTGTGGAGACATACGAGTGAGGGTATCATATACGATGAGTTTGTATAAGACCGGACCACGAAATAATTAATCTTTAGCTGTAACACCGTTGGCTAATAGATTAATATTTCAATAGGATGACCAGACAACTCAATCTCAATCCTGAGTGAGTTACGGACTCTTGTCTGTTAAGACTCGTGAAGGATTGACTTACCGTTAATGGTCGTACATCCGTGGACACGAAAATATTCTGCAGTGAGAAGAGTGCAACTGCGGATCTTTAGTGAAGTGACCCACCGTTAACGAATGTTGATTAACTCAATTAATGAGTTTGACTGATTAATTCCGTATCGTTGGAGCTTCTGATCTGTAGGTCTATTAGGTCCCCTTACTAGCTCACAACGGGTAAAACGAGGATCAAAATTATATATCAGGGAATATATGATACATTATATGTATAATTTATTTTTTAATAAATATTCAATAATTAGACTATATATTATGAGAGAAATATTTGAATAGGATTCAAATAATTAATATGAATTTGATTCATATTAAAACTACACGTTATACAAGAGAGATGCATTTGAATATGATTCAAATATATAGTTTTAATTTAATTAAAAGTTAAATAATTAATAATTAATTATTTATTTAATATTTGGATGGTAATTAATTAATTATTAATTAGATTAATAATTATTAATTAAATTATTAATTGATTTAATTAATTAATTTATTATTAATTAAAGTTAAGAAGAAAATATCGTGATGCCTTGGGATTTCTCCTCGATTCAAGATATCCTATATCGAAAAGATAATATGGGTCTTAGGATTTTCTCTTCCATAAATATAACATTAAACTAAACCTAAAGGATGCTAAAGGCTTAAAATCTCTCTCTTACCCTCTCAATCCTTTGTAATTGGATCCCACAATCTGGATTCTCGACCGAGAGACCTAGCAAGGCAGATCAAGTGGTGTTATCTCATTGGGATTTCACGAACAAGAATCTTCAAAAGTAAAATCCAACATTCTTCCTTGTTTTATATTTTTTTGTGTTTTTAATTTCAAAAGAAATTCAAGAACGCTTCCTATTGCTTCCGCTACGGGATTCACATCCCTTAACGTCCTTAATTAAGCAATTAACGTCAAAATAACCATATCATCAGCTCAACTCCATTCAAAACAAGTATATTGAGAATTCTAAACAACTCAGATTCCTGGTTTGCTAAATTCTATTCTTTTCTTGCTATTTTATCAAGGACCCTCACATTTGCACACCAATATTACATAGCTTATACCACAAAATACTCTCTTATCAAAATTCTTATATTTCTTTATTTTATTGATTTTTTTAAATTTCTCGGTTATTTTTTTTTATTATTCTCATGGTAGAAGTAGAAGATTTTTTCCCATCAAAATGTGTGGTCAAAATTCTCAGAGATCCAACGACATACACTCACACTCAAGGTTGGAGTTAAGGCCTCGTTCTCTCTCTGTTTGGCGAAGCAGACGAGGCATAAGGCGATTTCTGCCAGAGCCGATGAGATTCTTGTCAATCGATTCCTCGATCGGGAGAGGTACAACTTTGAGCGGACAACGACTATCGAGCTCATTTGCCGAAGGTCCAAAAGGCTGACTCAAACTGCTGGATTTCTTTTGGGTTTGTAAGGTGATTGCAAACAAAGTCTCACATTGACTAGGGAAGGAAACGATCATGAGTATATAAAAGAGAACAATTATCTCCATTGGTATGAGGCCTTTTGGGTGGGGTACCGTTGTCCTTAACTGATGGTATCAGAGCCATGGTCTAAAACCTAGCTGTATCGGTGAAATCCTCGGGTGCCGAACAAAGAAGTTGTGAGCCTCGGAAGAGTCACATTTTCCAACTGCTAAACAGGTATCAAATCAGTTTAAGCTTAGATTCTCATTTCTCTCTCTCTTTTTTTTTTATGGAAATCTTCTTTTCTTCGGTGGATAACCTTTTTTTTTTAATTAAGAAAACCTTTTTTTTTTAATTCAATGATAGTCGGAGTAAAAATTCGAATATCAAATCTTTTGATCAATGATATGTCTTAATTACATATTGTATACTCAAGTTAGTAAAATGGTTCTATGTTAAAATATAGACGATGAAGCACAAAATTTATCAACTCTTTCAAAATTAATATATATATAATTTTTATACAATTGGATGAGGGTTTGAACCTTCGATTTCTAAGATGCCTTAATTGCTAAGCTATGTTTATGTTGGCAAAATGATATGTTTTATACATATATAAATTAATTCATGAGCAAAAAAATACTTTACAAGTTACTGAAAACCAATTAAAGTTTTACCATACTGCATAAATGTTAAGGATAACAATACCTCAAAGTATTTCCACAATAGTATGATATTGACCATTTTGGAATTAACCTTCATGGTTTTGCTTTTGGTTTACCTAAAAAGACCACGTACCAATGGAGCTAATTGTCTCCATCTATATACCATAGATCACCTACTTTCTTAATTAATATGAGACTTTGTTTGCACTTATTGCAATCATAACAATAAATACTTATACTGTGTAATGTATTAATTTGTTATGATTTGTGTATCTAAATGTTTGTGATGGCCAAAACAAGCATATATATGGTATATATCTCCAACCAAAAAGGTTGTGAGTTTGATCTCCACCCAATGAAGCATATGGTATGCCAAAACGAGCATATGGTACCAAAATGAGCATATGGTACTGAGAAGAACTTACGACATTTTTTAATCAAAGATAGATCTCTTAACCAGTTATGCTTAGGTCGTTATATTTTTCATTCTCGTTAACTAATATGGTAAACCAAGATATTCTTTTCCATTAAATGTAAGCCACGTGGCTCAATAGTTTCCTTTAATGAAATTGCTATTAAAAAAAGTCTCTCACAATAAGGTGTCGTGTGAGAGAAATAATGGTTTTCCTTAACAACCTTCCTTTCTTCCTTTATTATGAGTTAAAACAAAATTTTATTATCATTGTTTAGCAATGAAGATACATTATTTAAAGTAACATTTACTGTTATAATCAACTTACCATTAATAAGTTAATAAGTATATGTGAAAAAAAATTGATCAACATCAAAATTGNTGTATTTAGATACTAGTTGATTTTTAAGTTTGGTATTAAACTTTAAGAGTTATGTGTATTTACTCAGACTTTTTAAAAGTTCTTCTAAGTTGCTAAAGTTTTAAAGTTGGTCATGCTTGTATTTAGAAAAGTTTCTAATAGTCATTCCACTCTCAAATTTTAACTTATAAAAGTATGTGCAACTGAAAAGTAAGAAAAAAAAAATCAATAATATATTGACAATTTATTAAGATTTTATCAAATAACATAAGTTTTTTTTTTGTTCTAAATGTTAATGTTGTTGGAAATACAGGGATATCAAATTTATAAAAATTTTAAGATACTGATGTTGTTGAATATCTTTAGGAAACTTTAATAAATTTATTAAAAAAAAAAAATTTAATTAACGAATAAACATTTTATTCTTTTAAATATGTTAAAATTTCGTATTATTTTTTTTTATGAGTACAAAATTTATTGTTATTAATACTATGTTCACCTGGGTAACCGTTTATTAATATTTTATCGGTGTTTTAATGATATAATAAAAACGTTGATTTACCCTTTCTCTCGATGTCTTGATATTATGAAAATATTCACTCTCATTTTTATTACTTATCATGAAATGACATGTTACTTTGTGGTTAGTAACAATATTACATATACATAAATCACATTTTTGTATCAAAACAAACATAACTCAGCGGTAATTGACATATACCTAAAAAACAATCGTATCTTTAACATTTCTTAAACTGTCGCCCAATCAAAATTTATTTTCAAGACCCATTGTATAGCAATCTTTTTATTTTCATTTATTAAAAAGTATGTTTATTTACTATCTACTTTGTTAATTTTTTAATCTATTGATGTTAAGTATTGTTAAAGTATACAAAACTTTTTTTTATATATATAGAAAACTATTAAAAAGTATATAGAAAAGTAATTTTTAAATTTATTTTTTTGTTTCTAAAATTCGTTTACTCGTCTATAATTAAGCATAATTTTTTTAAAACCCAAAGATGGAAATTGTATCTGTCAACTGAAAGAGAAATTTTGCCTAATATTAATTAAGGCACCTAATCATACATGATACAAGTAATGATTTCCAATTTGTTAACGATTTTATTTCAAGAACTCATTTGAGATTCATCTTGTTTTTTTTTTCCTCTTTTTTTAAACTACACTTGTTCCTTGATAATTTTATTTATTTTGTAATCAATTCTTAAATATGTTTCTAAAATCTTAGACAAATTTTAAAACAAGCAAATAAGCATAATCTTTAGGGCACAATTATAGCGTTTTTAGTTTTTAGTTTTCGGTTTTTTGCTTTTTAAAAATTATACTTATATTCTATTGTTTTTTTCTTTGTTTTCTAATATACTTTTGAAATCGTTTGTGAAATCATAGGAAAAATTATTAAAAAYTTCAACATTCAAAAACCTATTTTACATATGGCTCTTTAAAAATATATTTCTTTGATTTCGAAATGAAAAATGAGATAACAGAGAGGATAAGATCAATTTCTATCTATATAAGATATTTTCTATTTATATAAAAAAGATTTGAAATGTAGTTTTTTATTCCATGGACAAAAAGAAACACTTTCTGTTGTTATTAAATGGGACCTTGAAAATTAAAGATGAAAATTGTATATCTAATAAGATTTTTAGTTTCTCTTTTTTTTAAAAAAAAAATGTCAAGGTTGTGTGAGAATTTGAACTAGTTATATATATCTTCATGGCAGGCTAAAATTTAAAATGGTGTGTTTAATCATTTATTTAAAGTTATATTATTTAATTTTATGAAGTGTGAGGATTTTGGACCAGTTATATATATGTCAATCTTCATGACAGGCTAAATTTTAAAATTTTGTGTTTAATCTTTTATTTAAAGCTATATTATTTAACTTTAAAAGTTTGACTATGTTTTAGAAACGATTTTTAAAATAGCAACTAAATTAACATAATTTTTTAAAAATAAAAATTAAAAACAAGATGGTTACTATTTAAGGCCACCCATTTTCTTTTTTCTAAACTGATCCGTCTAAGGGATAACTTTATCATGTGGGCATCATGTAGTCGATAAAATTTCTCTTAATGTTTAACTTTTTTAATTTTTGGATAATTACATTTTTAGTGAGTGAAGTTGGACTTGATTTTTATTTAGTTAATGGAAATTTTAAAATTGGCTCTTTATAGTATTTGGGGTTGAATTTAGTTTTTATTTATTCTTCGTGATTTAAAAGCGATACTTTTTGGTCACTAAAATTTAGATTTGATTTTTACTTGGTCTCTGAATTGAGTTGACTCAATAGGAAAAACATATGATAGCTCATATGATGACGTGGATTATTGATCTCGCGTCACTATTATTAAATCCACCGTTGAATCTTCGTTGTCATTAATGTTCCAAAAGAAGTAAGTTGATGACCTTGTCATGAAAAAAAAATAAAAAATCTTTCATTCCCATTGAACATTCCTTAGAAACACAATCCAAACCTCATGAACTAAAATTATCACTTGAAAATTTTGAAAGACTCCTAAATCCAAACTTTAAGGGCCAAACGTGTTATACCAACATTTAATTCAATGATAATTGACACTTACCTCTAACCAAGAGATCATGAAAAGATCAAATAAAAGCTACATCCAAATCTCAAAGATAAAAAATGTCGATTTTGAACTCTCAAATACCAAACAGAAACTAAGTCCAAACATAGGGACTAAAAATATAATTTATAAATTAATGCAAATATCAAAACAGTTTTTAGGTTAAAATATTATTTTGATTCAATACTTTCAATTTTGGTTCATTTTGGTCTTTATACTTTTAACATTGGTTCATTTTAATTCTACTAGTTTCAAAATGTTCGTTTTGGTCCCTATTTTCAAAATTTTAATAAAAATTTTATACATAACGAAAATTGTTTAATATAAACTATGGTTACATTTCAAGAAATAAATTGAGTGTAGTGCTGTCTTAAAATTGTGATAGAAAAATGAGACTAAAAATAAATTAAGGGACCAAAATGATAACTTTTTAAAAATACATGGACTAAAATGAATATTTTAAAAATATTAGGACTAAAATAAAGTACCATAACTAAAATAAACCAAAACTGAAAGTATGACCTAATTTTCATTTTAAAATTTGGGGGACTAAAGTAAATATTTCAAAATTCAAATATCAAAATAGATAAATTTAGTTAAGACACTTATTTTTAATGGAAATGTTATGAATTCGAATTTCCAACCCCACGTGTCTCTAGAAGAAGATAAATTTTGAAACCATAATAAAACAAACCTAAAATTTATTAAAATTTGAGTGGTTAATAAAAAAAATATGATAATTATTATTATTTAGAAAGAAAAATAAGTTCAAATTAGAGTGATCTATTTTTCGAGGTACAAAATGTGAGAATTTTTTATATTTTCCCTTTAGTTTCTCTGTCACATGAACTGCCCAAATCTGCGAGGCTTTGACGTTAACATGTGGACTTCCAATCCTTCAACTTCAATTGGCCTTTTATTTTTCATTTTTTATTTCGAAGTTTGACCAACACCAAAAAACAGAACTGCCCATTAAAACCATGAATCAAAATCAACCGTTTCTTCTCATCTGAGATAAGAACGAGAAAGAAAGAAAACAAATCAACAGAGAAACAGCATTGATTTCTAGTAAATCGCAAATCCCATTTCCCATTTCGTGTAATAATTGCAAATACTTATAGGCCATGGCTGGCACCTTCCTACTCTACAGAATGCGCCCACAGTGTAGAAAGTCGAGCCCCGGGAAAAGGAAAGAAACCCCAAAATTACCATCTGCTAAGAAAAATGGAAGAAGGAAAAAAAGGAAAAATTTTGAAATCTTTTTGGTGGAATTAGCGAGTGAAATTTGAATGGAAAAATGGGGAAGCGATTAGAAATGGAGGGTCGGCTCTAATTTGGTCTGGTCTGGTCTGGTCCGGTCCTACCGGCGGCAGAGTGTAATAGCGACTAGCGAGTGATTTTCAATCTCTCCTCAATGTAGCAGCAGAGCACTTTGTGGATTGTTTTTAAGGCTCCTCTCTTCGTATAAATACCCTCTCCGATTCCACCTCAGATTTTATCTGTTTTCCCTTTTTTTCTCTGTCTGGAATAGCTCTGTCTCTGATTTGACTGTATTTCCTCTGTTTTCCGGTGACCGGGCGGGGAAATTTCGACGGCCATGGGCGGCCGGCCACCGTATCTGGAGCTCTTTCTGGAGGAGACCACTTTCTACAACCGCATTATTCTGGGTTCTATTTTCCCGGCCTTTGCTTCTGACCAACTTCCTCATATTGTTCAGACATGGCTCCGCAACTGCATTGGTGGATTCTTAATTTACTTCTTCTCTGGCTTTCTTTGGTGCTTCTACATCTATTACTGGAAGCGAAATGTCTATGTCCCTAAAGGTGTTTCCCTTTTTCTTCTTCTTCTTGTTCTCTCTCTGTTTACTCCCTTTAGTTGTTTCACCCCTCTTTTGTTTCTCTATCTCAACTTACTTTCCAATTAATGAGTTCCAATTCTGGTCATTTGGGTTCTGTTATTTCACTTGGTTCTTTGATGGGTCCCTATTTTTTTGATCTTCTTAGTGTATCTCTAATTGTGCAACAGATTGTGTGTCGTTGGGGAGAATCTGGATGTGTGTATCTCTTTTTACTAATTTGAGCCACTCCTGCCAGATTGATATAGCTGTATTCTTGAATTCTTTGTTCCTCTTCTTTTATTTTACTGCATACTGCATTCTGTATCTGAATCATTTTTGGTTCTACTGATTGATTTAGTTTTAGAAAGTTGAGATAAACTTGACATATCTTTGATGACGCAGTTTCCTCCTTCTGAGATGCTGATGTTGCTTGTCCTTTCTAGGATGGAGTTCAAATAAATGATTCGTAAGCACAATAATTTTGGATCATCCATAAGTTCTTGTCAGAAAGACTTCTCAAAAAGATTGTTTTATTTGTGCAAGCTGATGGTTCATCTTTCATGTCGTTTCCTAGATGAATTGTAAGAAAAAGAGCTGAAATAACTAACATATAGCCATAATACTTTAGAACTGATGGATGGTATGTTATGTTGGGATTCTTACCTATAGGATCTTCTCAGTCAAGACTAACTAAAAAGAGGGTGTTTTATTTGTTCAAATGGATGATTCTTCTATTCATGAACATATATATATATATATAAATAGGGCTTATTTAAAACGTTAGAATTGTAAGGACTTGTTAATCTTTGGTTCAATTTTTACCTTTCTCATGGCCCTGTATAGTCATTGGTATTAGTAATATCTTTATTGTAATTTTACTTAGGTTCTCATAAACTTTTTCGCCTGCCTATTATGTAGTTTCCTTTTGATAACCTTTTTATCATATAATTTCATTTAAATAAATATGCTAACATAGTATTTCATTAAAGAATCTTTGTAAATCAAATATATATGTTCTTTCAGATATCCATATGTTTGTGATTTGGATATATCTTTTTTACTATATGGTCTCTAGACCATCTCAACTAATTTCATGAAACAATTGTTTATTTTGTGTACATTTGAAATTAGGAAACTTGTGGAATATTTGAGATCGTAGGTCGGTGGCTATTTTGAACTAAATGTTAAATCTACTCTATTTTGAAATATTGAACTTGTTGAAGTCGGCACGCTATTGAATTGGAAAATTTTCTCAAATGAATAACTATTTTTTCCAATTCAATACTTTTGTATGAATGTTATATGCCATCTTTTGTTAGCACTCATTTTGGGATAATTCGGTTTAGTACCATTTAAACTCATAAACTTCAGAACTCATTTGTTGATCATCTATCTGTCTGAAAAGATGTTGGGACTTTAGACTAACCATATCCTTCGTGTCATGCCAACATTTATAAGTTACAAGTGTCTATGGCTCAGCGCTTGTATAATTATTTGACCTATCAGGCACTTTTTTGCAGATTCTATCCCGTCTAATAAATCGATGCTCTTGCAAATCTATGTAACAATCACGGCCATGCCATTGTACTGCATCCTCCCGACGTTTTCTGAATACGTGGTCGAACATGACTGGACAAAATGCTATCCAAGAATACGTGATGTCGGATGGCTTGCATATGCCTTCCATATAATTTCTTATCTCACATTTGTAGAGTTTTCTATTTATTGGATGCATAGGGGGCTGCATGATATAAAGCCTCTTTACAAATATCTTCATGCGAAACATCATATATACAACAAGAAAAGTACTCTCTCTCCCTTTGCTGGTAAGTTCTTGTCCTACAATCTCAATTTTTGTAACCACTTGCTATTCATGTAAAAATATCTTCTTTGAAAGGACTGTATGTCATATGTCATTCTTGTTTGATTTCCTTCAGATGTGTTGAACTTTATATGAGAAACCGAAATAAGAACCAAGAACCGGTCTTGTTTGAACTATTTTCCATTTTTACAGAAAAAAGAAAGTATACTTAGCGTTAAGTTGTTGTGTAAACTGTTAGGACAGTAGCAAGTGTTAAAATAAAAGGTGCTAGAGCACTTTTGTCTCCTTAAAACCTTGTGAATTTCTGAACTATGCCGATTGGTGAACGATATTGGCCTTCCATGAAGGTCAGGAGTGGCGATGAGTCACTTGCCTCTGTAGGAATCACATTACCTCGCATGAACCCGACTTTTGCCGTGCTTTCATGTATCATTTTTGCATACCATGTCTGTGGGCTAGGACTATAATTTATTTATGTAAAATGGTAATCTTTTATTTTTAAGATGAAAACGTGCAGTTAGTATAAGTCGCTTCATTCTGAGAGAAACTTCAGGATCTGCTCATCTGCTGGCTGATGTGGCCAGATAAATATGGCCATTTTGCTGTCCATGTTATAAATAGAAATTGACTTGGCATATGACTGACTATATTTTGATGATTAAGTTTATGAAATCCCAAAATATACTGATGCTGAGGATACCTCTCTGCATTCTGAAGTAGTTGGGAGATCTATCAAATAGCATCATTTCCTCTTTGGTTTGGTTTCTCATTATTATGAAAAATAATCTGATAAATGTTCTCTTTTCATGTCAGGTCTAGCATTTCACCCTATCGACGGGATATTGCAGGCTATACCTCATTTGTTTGCTCTATTTCTCATTCCAACCCATTTTAGAACACATGTCGTGCTGCTGTTCCTCGAGGTGGTATGGACAACGAACATTCACGATTGCATCCACGCAGAGTTGTGGCCAGTTATGGGTGCTGGCTACCACACCATTCATCATACAAGATACCGCTACAATTATGGCCATTACTCCATATGGATGGACTGGATGTTTGGGACGCTTCTTGACCCAAAGGACACAGAAGCCAAGGTGTCGTGATCGATTGCTTTGACGTCGTCTCCTGATCCGTCATAGTCTTGGGTGATTCTTTCTGTTCCTAATGATATATTGATCTTCTAAATGTAAATCAAGGTGGTTATTGATAAGGTGTCATGTCTTCTGGAATAGTTGCGATTGCAGGGCACTTGGTGAAGCCACCATCAAATATTCAATCTCAGAGTTTAGGAATCCACAGGGCCTGTGTTCTGCTGCTGCTTTTGTTGGTAAGTAAAATTTGTGGAGGAATTTGTTGTATCTTTGTATATCATAATTTGAATGAAAACTTGTGGTGTGACAAAATATCAAATGATCATATTTGGGGAATGGAATTCATGATTTCCCCAATCTTCAACCTGTGCAAGTTTTCAAATGTAATTGTACTGAAATCAGAAAAAACAACAGCTAGTAAGTAATATTACTGTCCTTCCAAACACTCCCAGTTCCAGGCTCGTTTCGCTCATTAATTTCTCGAAGCCGACCTTTGGGTGGGTGAAGCCTCCTTAAAATTTAGTAAAAGGTAGGTTATAAGCATAGAGTGGGACGCTCATACTCTCGTGATTTAAAATAAAACAAAGTAGCAGTAATCTTTTGCAGCTTAAGTGTAAAGTACAAAAGAAAGAAAGCTTCCTCATAACATAAAAGCAACCCTAAAATTAGGCCATCTCCTGCCATACATTACAATGTGAAATGAGGGCCACAGAATTATGATTAGCTACAACTTTCTGCAACTGGGAAAGAGGAAAATTCAACTAAAAGCAAAAGCAAGTAGAACAGTAAAGGACAATGACAACTTTCTCTTTTCCATCTTTCTTACTTTTCAAAACAATACCACATTGTCCAAAACAATCAAGACCTCCCACCTTTCAATGACAAAAGTATTCATTCACTTCCAGTACAACAAAATAACAAGTGGTGCACACAATTCTGACATTAGAAAAAGGTGGTGGGCCCACCTCCCAAGACTTCCAACTACTAAATGAAAATGCTAAAAGTTAGATACAGGGAATTTAAAGCTCATCATGGTACAACATTTTCAGCCTTCATAACCTACCATGTGAATGTGCAGAAGGAAATTCTCTAAGCAAATAATTGATCAGCAAAAACTGCAGAGATTTTGCTCTTATCTTGTTGCTGTTTGTACAAAAGTAATATCAAATGAAAAGGGTTCCTCCATCTGTGAAAATACATAAAGATGAAAAAGGGGGAAAAAGGAGAAAAAAGCAGAACCACACACAATTGGTACATTGCTGGTAGAATGGATGCATCATTATACAGGGGGAAAGTAGTACCTCCTTCCCCCAACCGCCACAGTTGAGATTAGTGCATAAGCTTATTTTGAGATGAATTTCAATATAATTGGATTACCAAACTAGGCCCTTTCTTTTCCTAAACCTATCGACACGATCAGTGCTCATCCGAGATTTCTCAGGCTTGTTTAACTTTTTCGACTTCTCAAGCCGACTATCCAAACTGTTCCGGGAAACTTCTGGAAGATCAGCAGCTAATTCAAATGTATCTGAAGGCCCACTTTCAGATGGTTTGTTCCGACTGTCGATTTCTACTTTAGATTTCTCAGAACCATTTGTTGATGCTTTTGATTTCCCAAGTGACTGTACAAATTTCTTTAAATGTTTAATGAACTCAGGGTAGAGCTCAAGATTACAATGCCCACCTCCACTTAGCCATAGGGGTTCATATTTTTGCTTGCAAAGCTCCCAGAGCTGCTTTCCATGGGACCAATCAACAACTTCATCAGCTGTCCCCTGCAAGACAAACACATTAGGCCAGTAGTCAATTTCTTTCTGCTTATAATTTGAAACTATTAAGCCAATAACCATTGCAGTGGATCTGAGGAGACGCAATGATTGGATTGGATGGGTAACATGATTAGGGAAAAGAAAGATATCATTGCACAATCAAGAATATGGGCTGTACATAAAAAGCTACGTGCAAGTCCCCTGTTGCCACCCCATCCCCACGACCATCTAATAATCTTTAATTGTTTGCTTCCTTCCCCTGATATAAGTTTATTCGAGTGAGCACTGTGAGGAATCATTCCTACATGATGATACTATAATAACTGTGTGTTTGGATTTTGGAATGCCTTTTGAAAAAAATTATTTTTAAGTGAAACACCAACTATATGAGCACTTTTGGGAGAAAATAGTTAAATGCTTCCTTCCTAAAATCACTTTTAAGTATTTTTTATCCGTGTAGAATTTCTCAAACCAAAAAGCAATTTTATGGATCAAAAGCACTTTCTATCACACTCCAAAATTTTAACCAAAACCCAACAAAATTTCTAAGAACACTTTTAGATCCATGAGCACTTTAAAATACAGGCCAAACACACATTAAATTCAATTTACATGACTGCTTCTGATCTCACATACAGATTACTGATCTCAAAGCTTTAGTGTTTATTAAACCTATACAATGCTGTAAAAGAGGACTGCCTTAAAGCTAAAGTGTTCATAGATTTAACCTTCCTAATCATGCTCATCTCTGTATGTATGTGAGAGATAGAGAGGAAGATATTTAAAAATGAGAGACTTACATGTATGATTAAAACAGGACAGTTCACCAGCCCAATTTTGTCGATGTTCTGAACAAGGAAACAGAACTATAAGATACTATATTCTGAATCAAATAAGTGATAACAAGGTAGAAAAACAGACCTTGTAGATATCGAACCAATAAGTCCGTTTGACGGGGTACAATACCCTCAATCCAGATAAAATTGGGCTGTGTAAAACTACACCTCTCAAATTTGACAATCGTGAAGCAAGATCAAGCGTAGGGCCGCTACCAACTGACTGACCATATAATATTAGTTGTTCATCATTCACCCCATACTTCTCCTTGAGGCATTTATATGCAGCATCAATGTCTGCATATGTGTTATATTCAGTTGGCTGTTTCAAAAGAAAAGAGAATGACAAGTTTCTTTGTAAGGATTATTGAGAAGGGAAAAACCACGCTGCAGTCATCAGATTGACAATCCCAGTACATAAGTAGAGCTAAAGCAAAGTCATATTACAAAGGTTTAATGTTTTAATTTTAAGTTTCCTTTATCCAAAATATCCAGATCTCGTGGACCTCTACACTACTCCAATCAACAAGACTTGAACATTGCCTGTTCAGGATTAGTAATTTGTAGGCCTCTTTTGATTCAGCATAGTAAACATGGCTGAATAACATAGTACGACTGACAAGAAGCATCATTGAGATGCAATGCTACACCAACATTCCATTAACGAGGTATTTTCAAATCGGAGCAATATATTATTTGGCAAATAGGTAGTTAAGAAACTAAAGCCGTAACTATCTAGGTTTGCACCGGTAATAATGATGCTCAATCATGCCAACAAACCTCACACGGCTAAAAAAAATTTGCAACATAGACAATATAGCAAATTAATCTCTTATTCAATCAACAATATGAACAAATCTACAATAATGGTATTAAACAACTGAAATTGATGTATTTATATAAGTCAAAACATAAGCAAATTTTTATTTAAAGAAACTACAATTTCTGTTGCAATCACCTACAAATTAGGAGCCTGGTTAGACTGTTTATTTAATTTTTTGGATTAAGTTCGAGCCCTGTTCCCTTGCAAGATTGTTGATGCTATAAACTCTAGAAACTATACTTTACTTCTTTTTGTTTAAATATCCACGGTATCAAGCCTCACTTCACTAATTCATTGAGAGTCTTTTTAAGTTGCGTAGAGACTAAAAAGGTAAAAGAAGTTTGTCCAATAGGAAACGACAGATGTTGTGGTTCTCTTGTCTTTGTTAGGAGGCTTTTTTGAGGTAAAAGAAGTTTGTCCAATAGGAAACGACAGATGTTGTGGTTCTCTTGTCTTTGTTAGGAGGCTTTTTTGTTAATTCAGGGAGAAAGGATATTCATTTGTGGGCTCCTGATCCTTCCAGGGCTTTTTTGTGTAGGTCACTTTTTCTGTCTTTGTGTGATTCCTCCTCCTACCGTCTTATTATGGAAGGTTAAGATTCTAAAAAAAGGTCAAATTTTTTGTTTGGCAGGTTTTGCATGGAGGGCGAACACTTTAAATCGTGTTGGGTTCTTTCTTTCTCTTTGGTGGAGTCGCAGTGGTGCATTCTTTATAAGAGTGCATCTAAGGACTTCGATAATATTCTTTAGAGCTACCAATTCAACTGCTAGATTTGGGATTTTTTTTTTGGAGTTGTTTGATGTTTTTTTTTAATATCCATAAGTGTCCAGGCCACTTGCAAGTTGCACGCACCTCAACTAATCTCACATAATCTCAAAGGATAACCGCCTAACCTTACTACATTGTGTTGCCAAGATAACTTGTAGGATATTAAATACTAGGAAGGTGACCATCATGGTTTGAACTCATTCCTTCCCTCTAAGCCCTTTACTATTTACATTAGCTCTTATTGACTACTGCCTTACTATATTAGGTTACCGAGATAACTTATAGGATATTAAATATTAGGCAGGGGACCATCATGGTTTGAACTTGTTCCTTCCCTCTAAGCCCTTTACTATCTACATTGGCCCTTATTGACTACTAGGTCAATCTCAATCCATGATGGTTTGGAGTTAATTGATGTTGGTTTGGCACGAAATAAAGTGTAGCTCTATTGTGGACGAGGTCCTAATACATCTGCTGTTTCTTAACAAGGGTCAGATCTTGCGGCATTCTGGCATTTTTTGCCATCTTGAGAGATCTTGAAGAAGTTTGGTCTCTTGCTGGGTCTTATGCTTCTATTCAGGTATCAGTTTCCAAGAATTTTTTTTTATAATTACCCATTAAGTCTTATCATCTTGGATTGGAGCCAAACCCCATTATAACTTTTAAGTTTCCCTAGAAATGAATTTAACAGCCTTGTCAAGAGGAATGCAATGTTTATCCATCTTGAAATCATCCAATCTATGTAATCAGGTACCCCAGAGAACGCCATCCCCAAGTCTTATATCCATTGACTAGAGCATCCGACCCAAGCTGGCTTTTCACATTTTTGTGATTGGGAGGAAGGTCCTTCAACAAGCTAGGGCAGCATCAACTGGGGCATTTGATCTCATAGCAAAGGACTATTGATAGAATTTTGCTTCCAATTTTCAAAAATTTTAATGAGTTACTCTAAGCTTACAATTTTTCAGAATTAAGAAATATAAAATATTTACACTTCACTAGAGATACACACCAACAGTCTCATTAAGCATTTAAGATGAATGAGAAGTAGGCTTAGCTAATAGTCCTAAAATAAGCGAGCACCAAAACATAAAAATATGAATCTACATAAATATAAATATAACACAGCTATAGGCATTAACTCATTACTTGTTACTTAGAAAGAAACATCCAAAATAAATAGATATTTGGATAGACAATACTAAAATAAATTAAAAAACTAGAGAGAATAGGGAAACGGCACCGTACCTTTCCAGTTGATTGTCCATAGCCAGAATAATCATACCTACATAAAATACAAGTTACAACAAAGGATCATGAGTCAATTTTGCAGTTGGGTGCAATGTATATAATACTTCAAGAAATTCACTGTATTATGAAGATAGCAAAGCAACTTTCCTCGCTTTCAGCAGTTACAAATGGTAAAGGGGTGTTTTATTTATTATGAAAAGTTGAGCTTCCATTGAGATGAATGAAAAAAAAATCAATAAGGCATACAAAGAATAGTTTAGTAAGCCAAAGTAAGCATAACTCAACGGTAATTAGCATATATCTCAAACCAAGAGATTGTGAGTTCGATCCCCCACCCTACATGTTGTACTTTAAAAAAAAAAGTCAATCTAAAAGAATGGACTCCAATCCAGCAAAATCAAACTGAAGGAGTATACAAAATTCTTTTTGGACACCAAAGCCAATACTCTTTTGGTCCCTGTACTTTCGGCTTTGGTTTATTTTAGTTCCTGTGGTTTCCAAATGTCTATTATGATTCCTATACTTTTGTTAAGGATGAATAGACCATCACTCAACCCAAAAGCTTAAGCTGGCGGGTTGGATAAATTTAATTAATATATGGATAACTCAACAACTTTCAATTTTTGTTCATTTTAGTTCCTTTACTTACAAAACATTCGTTTTGGTACTTGTATCTTAAGGGAGTGATTTTAATAATCCCTTCCTTTTCATTTTTATCTTACTTATTTCAATCAAAATTTTGGCATGACACTTCACTCACTAAATTTGTTGAGATGTAGTTATAAATTTGTATTAAAAATTTCCATTGTATATAAAATTTAAGTTAAATTTTGACAAGTAGGGACCGAAATTGTCACTTTTCAAAAGTGCATGGACCAAAACAAACGTTTTAAAAGTACACGGACTAAAATGAACAACAGTGGAAAGCATAAGGACCACAAAGGACTTTTTTTTTCTTTTTTTTTTCTTTTTTGTGAAAGAAACAATTTCATTGATGTATGAGATTACAAAAGCCCAAAAAGAGGAAAGACATTTAAAAATACAGGGACTAAAATGATACAAAACATATTTAAGAACCAGAAACCTCCTCCCAAGACCCATCTACACCATTAAACCCTTTTGATCTACTCTAACTAAATGTTCCGAAATTTAGTGAATTGCCAGCCTGTCAATGGATTCTCTCTTTGTCAGTAAACAAAAGAATTCCAGAGAACTTCCTCCATCATAGCACAAAAATCCGAGTAGGAATCATTATCATTTCAAAAGCCCAACAAAATTCATAGCAAATCTCTGTGTTTCATATCACTGCCTTACAGTATTCAAATTCCTCCCTCGTAAGCTTACTCCACTATATAAAATAATCAACATATTGATCTTCATGAAAAGCATATAGAACTTATTTATAATCTGTCACCCTTACTCTTTATGCCTGGTAGCACAGCAAACACACAATAGCTTCCCACCCATTTTCCTTAGAAACTAACCACTGGGAAATATGATATAAATGTTCTGGAATGGGAAGGTAGGAAAGAGTACTCTTGTAAGGACAAAGCTAAAGTGCTGTGATCGAACATAGCCAAAGCGATTTTGTGGTTGACTTGGAAATAAAGGAATGCTAGAGTTCTTTCAGATAAGTTCAACTATTTTGAATACTTTTCTGATCTTGCACAGTTTACAGCCTTCAACTGGAGTGCTCAACACAATATTTTTTGTAATTACTTGACCCGTACTATTGGATTAGATTGGAAGGCTTTTATGTAATCCTCCTTCGGAGCAGAGACAAACACCTTGTCGAGAGGTCCTGCTAGTGCTCTTTGAATTAAAATAAAAAAACAGATAGGAAGGACTACTCTTAAAACCGTGTTCAAGCACATTGTTTAGTAATGCCATCATGTGATCAGAATAATGATTCCCAATGTAAACATGATCGAGAGGACGTATAAATCTTCGTAATGACGGCTTCTAAAGTATAGATTTTGGCCATAACTGTTAGAGCAATAAATGCCTAATTGCTTTGAGAAAAATCCACTATTCTCCCATCCAGCCATCCCTATTCCCCCACTTCCACGGAGGAAAACGAAGCTGAGACAATCAATTTACTCGTTTCATTTCTATAGATGCTATCTAAAATTAGAAGTTAAGATATAGCTCCACCACCCCTCCCACCCACAGAGTCCTCTAAAGGGAATGATTTAAAGATGGAGGAACAAAGACAGGTTTCAACTCTCAAGGGAATGATTTAAAGATGGAGGAACAAAGACAGGTTTCAACTCTCAAGAAAGAGTCACATATAAATGCTCTAAATGTGCTCCAAATGTAGCTTCAGTTTTTTTTTCTTCTTTTGAGAAGAATCCAAACTATCATCGAGAAACATGAAAGAATATAAAAAAGGAATACAAAAACCAAGCTCAACA